CTGTGGGTCAGAATGGACTCCACGGCAGTGGGTGTGGTTTGGGCTTTGCTTCTATGAAGATTGACAGCCTTGGAGACCCTGTGGGGCAGTTCCACTCTCACACAGGGTCGCTGTGAGTGGAAAATGACTCAACGGCTCCCAACAACAAGAAGAACTAAGCAGATTTGCCTCTGACACCCATAAGCCATATTCATATACTGTTTATTTCCATCAGCAATTTTCTGAAATGGGTTGCTGTGCAGCTCCTTTATCTTGTCACGCTGGTGGGTGTTGACGTGGAGCGGTCAAGCGATTAGTGACTCAGAAAACCAGAAGCCTGTTTGTTTGGCAGATAGCAAGGCCCCAGTCTTGAAGGACATCTCCCAAGCCACGTCATTTTGGTGGATTTGTTCCAGAGCGGCCTTCCTTCCCTGTGGTGTGTCCCCACTCCGGTCACTCTGTGATATGACAGTATTTGAAGCCTTCCTACCCAACTGGATCGTGGGAGGAAAATTTTCTCTTTCCCGTGTCCTGTGAATGCCCGCATTTGAAGTCCACTGGTCTGTTGCTGGGACACTTACTCATCTCTGTATTCATTTCTTGTTGTTGAGAAGATACACAGGAAAACATACTCCATGGACGCTCGCTCTTGTTCTGTGATTAACCAAGGGCTGAAGTGAATCTAGTTATGACACTGCATGGAATAGGGGACTACTGCTTTGATGTGACGTCTAGAAATGTGGTACAGATTCGATTTTTCAAAGAACTTCTCTTTCAACTCACAAAGACCTCCCAAGTTCAATTTCAAGATAACATAGCTGAAGCAAAACAGAAAACGGTACGAACATAATTTCAGACCTTCAGGTCCCAAGACCCTTTAGTGATATCAGCTGTACTGCACTTAGAGCAGTCTTAGGCCCTTTACCTGGGTAAACACACTGACTGGTGTGTTTGCTCCTCGTCCACCCACTGGTCCCCACAAGCTGAGAGAATGTCTCCCACTGATCAGTTTCTTAAGGAACAGACTTAAGTATGCCCTGACAGGAGATGAAGTTAAAAAGATCTGCATGCAGCGGTTCATTAAGATTGACGGCAAGGTCCGAACTGATAAAACCTACCCTGCTGGTTTTATGGATGTCATCAGCATTGACAAGACTGGAGAGAATTTCTATGATACCAAGGGTCGATTGGCTGTTCATCGTATTACACCTGAGGAGGCAAAGTATAAGTTGTGCAAAGTAAGAAAGATCTTTGTGGGCACAAAAGGAATCCCTCATCTGGTGACCCATGATGCTCGTACCATCCGCTACCCTGATCCCCTCATCAAAGTGAATGACACCATTCAGATTGATCTGGAGACTGGAAAGATTACTGATTTCATCAAATTTGACACTGGTAACCTGTGTATGGTGACTGGAGGTGCTAACCTGGGAAGAATTGGTGTGATCACTAACAGAGAGAGACATCCTGGCTCTTTTGATGTGGTTCATGTGAAAGATGCCAATGGCAACAGCTTTGCAACCCGACTTTCAAACATTTTTGTTATTGGCAAAGGCAACAAACCATGGATTTCTCATACCTCAGAGGATCATTGTGAAAATCCAATAAGATAATGTATGCAAAAGTACTTTGTAAATGATAAATTCCTCTACAGACATGCGCTGTTCCTATCAGCCTTCAATATCTCACCTGACTGCCTACTACACTGCTTCTCAGCTCAGGATGCATAAGAGAATCACCTGAGGAGCTTTGAAAAAAATATATCAATGCCTTTTCTTTCTCTTCTTCTCTTCCTTTGGGCTCTTTTCAAAGCAGTTCAGCAGGGTCAAGGCCAAGTACGCAGTGTTCAAGGAGAGGGGTCAGGGCTGGGGGCTGAGGGGAGGCATCAAGACCAAGGAGGTGGCCAGGGTGGTCTGGAGTCTGGTTACACAGAGAAAGGTTAGGAAAATATTGAATGGAGTGAGGGTGACGGAACCATGTCTATCATTCTCACTGTTGGAAAAACCAAAATACCAAGCTCCTTCATTTCGGGGTGATTCTGGGTCGCTATGAGTCGGGTTTGACTCGACGGCACATAACAACAACAACAACAACTGACTCCTGGTGACCCCGTGGGTCAGAGTAGAACTGTGCTCCATAAAATTTTCAATGGGTGACTTTTTTTTTTTTAATTTGATCACCAGGGGTTTTTCTTCTAAGGTAACCCTCAGTGGGCTTGAACCTCCAACCTTTTGGTTAGTAGAAAAGATCTTAGCTGAGCTCTTAAACTTTTGTACCACTCGGGGACCCCCACTCGGGGACTCCCACTGTTGGAAAACAAAACAAACTCACTGCCTGTGTCTTGGTCACATGGTGCCAACCTCCACCTTACTGGTCTTTGCACATTTCACTATAATGGTATTTTCAGTCACCTCTTATGCATGTGAGAGCTGGACAATGAACGAGGAAGACCGAAGAAGAGTTGATGCTTTCGAGTTGTGTTGGCGAAGAATGCCATGAATACCATGGACTGATAAAAGGACTAATAAATCTGTCCTGGAGGAATTGCATCTGGAATGCTCCTTGGAGGTGAGAATGGCCAGACTTCGTCTCACCTACTTTGGTCATGTTGTCAGAAGGGACCATTCCCTGGAGAAGGATGTCATACTTGGTAAGAGGGAGAGTCGACGAAAGAGGGAAAGGCCTTCAACAAGATGGATTGACATGGTGGCTGCAATGATGGGCTCAGGTATAGCAGGGATTGTGAGGCTGGCAGAGGACGGGGCAGTGTTTCATTCTGTTGTTCGTAGGGTCGCTATAAGTTGGAGCTGACTCCATGGCACCTAACAATAACACAACAACCACCACCTTCCTGTGTATTGCCAAACTGTAATCTCTGTGGGAGGAGATCACCAAATCTTTCTCCCATGGAACCATTGGGTAGGTTTGAACCACTAACCTTTCAGTTAACAGCTGACCACTTAACCACTGCACCACCAGCAGTCCTTGTGTAGACTGAAGGTAAGGAATTTATTAGATCTATTAAGACATCATTCCACAGGATGATAGACCTTGGACATCAGGTCAACAAAATAAAGGTCAGTCCTAGTCCCTGACTGGTAAGCTGAAGATACTGAAGTTCTTCTTAGATTGACCAGGAATTCATCGAAGGGAAGAGGAATGGCAGGGGCCCAGACTGAGTCTCCATTTTGAGAGAACTTCCTGGAATCCAGGCATCTTGGCTTTGCCCAGTCAGTTCCCAGGCCCACAGTACACCCCAGATCCTTCCCTTAGCTTCAATTATGTGCTCACGTTTCCAGGGCAGTCTCACAAAATAAAACTTTAATGAGGGAAGATGTCAGGTTACCCCGTCCCAGGTTCAGAACTGGCTTCAGTGAAGACGGCACTCCTTGGCCACCAGGTCCTAATGTAGTCCAGCCTGAGGGCGGGGGCCCTACCTGAACCTTCCGGTCTGATATACCTTTAATCTCCAACCCCAGGCTCCAAATCCCCAAGGCTGAAGTCTCCTGCTCCAACGGGAGCAATCTGTTACTTTGCGAGGATAATAGTTGAATGTCTTGCACGGGAAGGAAAAGGAGCCCTGGTGGTAAAGCTGTTAAGAGCGTGGCTGGTAACTGAAAGGTTGCTCGTTCAAATCTACCCAGAGGCTGCATGGGAGGAAGATGTGACAGTTGGCTTCCATAAAGATGACAGCCTTGGAAACTCTGGTGCAGTTCCACTTCTGTCCTGTAGGGGCGCTGTGAGTCAGAATCCACTCCAGGGCAGTGGGCTTGGTTTGGGCTTTGCTTCTGTGAAGACTGACAGCCTTGGAAACCCTGTGGGGCAGTTCCACTCTGTCCTCTAGGGGCGCTGTGAGTCAGAATGGACTCACGGCAGTGGGTGTGGTTTGGGCTTTGCTTCTGCGAA